AAACAGACGCAACGATCACAACAGTTAGACACAAGAGTGAGGGCATCAGTAGATCCGGACATACCTTTACGTTGCGGACCACAACTTTGCGGAAGCCGTTGGGCAGCATATGACGGGTCTGTTTGGCTGATCCGTAACCGATGTTCGGCATAAGGATCTGACCCTTGAAGCGACGCCGAACTCGATTGTCAATACCCTTAGGTTTTCGCCAATTGGGCTGAAGAGGAAGACCACAAGAAAACACGTCAAACAAAGCCCTTTAATCCAAAGACAACTAAATATTTACCTTCAGTTTTCGGTATCGATCGCATTGATGTCTTCGGAACCGTTTGGTCCTCTTTTTCACGATTTGCGGGTTATATAGCGGTTGGACAACCATTTTGTCGGATTCTCTGACCGGCAAAGAGTTGGATCAGTCGGTGGTTAATGAAATGATCAGTGAATTAATACCTGATTTAAGCCAACAGTGACTTCACGTGCAAAATGGCTAAACAGGAAAGGGATGTCTTCAGTACAACACAACACTATTGTGTACAACAATTACGTCCGCACCATATGTTTGACACTTTTATTTCTCATTTATTGATACTTTTTTAATTTATTTAATTTTTGTAATTAATTAAAAGATCTATTAACTTTATTTTAAAACTATAAAGTAATTGAATTATTAATAATGTGATTAAAAGTTATGATGATGCATATTTTGAATCATATGAATTAATTATATTTGATGTCCACTAGATTTCACTCAATTCCTCACATCTCTTGGGAATCAAGAATTCAATTCTCAAACTTTTGAAAGAGATTTTAATTTTATAAAAACTAATTACTTTGTTGCAAATAATTACCATATTTTTATTGCTATCATTTTACTCTGTTTATCGCATTTTATATCTTAACGTTGTTTTTACCTTTGATTACAATATAGCAAATTATATACAATTCTGGTATAATTTTAAGATGCGTTTAGTTAAACCCTGTTTAGTATAAGTTAGCATTATTTATATTAATTAATGTCTATCTAATAAATCAATGAATATGGTATCCAATCATATATTTTGAAAACTAATAAGGTACATTTATGTAATAATATTTTAAACAATCATAAAATTTTTATAACGCCGACTGAATTAAAAAGAGATAAATTAATTTTTATTATAGATTTTGGTAACCATTGAATTTGGCCTTCAATTAAATATAGGGATAAAAATAAGTAAATCATAGATTAAAAGTTATAACACTTTATACGATATGTGTAGTAATACTATTACCGTAGTTATAATAAATTAGTTATCATAAACTTTTGTTAAGTTTATTAACTTATAA